CTTTCTATTACCCATTACATCATTTATCATTATTTCAATACTAATCAAGAAATTAATTCATTAATAAATACATTGTTAAACAGGCCTGTAGATATAGTCATTAGCAAAAACACCAACAACCAATTACATATTCTTCAAAATCGCAAGGAATGGACAGAAATCTTTAGGGTGTATTCTGCAGTTTGGTCGGAAGATCGCGTAAGATTCGCATAATATTCGCTTATTCTTACATGCAGGTCTGGACGTGAAGGTTTGCACGCCTCACTTTGCGGATTCACGGAATGACGGCGTCGTATGAATGAATCAGTCAAGAACAAGAACATACTCGATACTTTAGAAGCGAGTGGATAAAATCTTCATATATGAAAAAGTATTTAGACAAGTAGAGGGGGGATAAACGATTATTTTTCTTCTTTGATACTGCCGTTACTGGCTGTTTGCAGAACTCGCTTATATCGGAGACTCTCAACGCAGGAGAGCTGAGTATTCTTCACTACGCAAAGACAAGCTAAATGCCTTTTGAGAAAGAGAGTGTGGACACACGGGAGAATGAAGGAAAGTCAGTATTTTCTCTTCAGTGGGTGTTGCAAATCACCTCGGTGAGCTGTACAAACAAAGATTTGCAGATGGCAAAGGATGAAAGAATCTTAAATTGGAAAGATCAAAGTAATGTGCGGTTTTGTGCTATCGCATTCCCTTGATTTTAAGAGTTCCTTGAAAGAGGATATAGGTGATTGGAAGTTTGGCTGTAATATTGTAATTAAGGTATTGTAGTAACATTTTTAACCTTGTTTAGCTGACTAACGTGTTTCACCGAGCGGCGTTTGTACAAAATCAAATTAGAAATTCCTTATCTTACACCTAGCAAGTACATGTGTCATTCACCACAGTTGGCTGTGGTGAATGACAGATTATCTCCCTGGCTCTCTCACTCTGTTACTCAATAGGCTAGATACTTTTCTTTCTTTCATCATTGATCTTCAAGCTCCACTGGAGTCAACACAGCTAAGCCAGATTCAAAGGCTGTACACTTGCGAAACTGAAAAATTCGAAATTAAAAGAAATTGTGAAAGATGCTACTCAGCTCAGATCCTTTATGACGTTTACTGTTCCTTCCTGGTATTCCTGAAGTATATTCTGGGAGGTCAGCATATTAATAAGTATCAAAAAAAGGTTACGTACAGGTTACAACGAAACGGTCTAGTGACCTTACTCAGCCGACTGATTATGTAGGTCCCAAGGTGATTATTTTAGGTAAAATAGAATAGAATAAAATCCAACAGGAAAGGAGAATCTAGGAAATCAAACAGCTTTACATCTGTTCTTAAAATGCGAATTTGAAAAGGTCAAAGAAATTCTTGTTGAAAATAAGATACCAGGCAGATACACACTGTTTGTGGTAGAATTATTGAAACAATTTACAGCCACATCTGCTAGACAATGTTCAAGTGTTACAGGCAATTCTATTAACTCAGGGCAAGTGGATGCCTGAAGCCAATCAAAACATGAGTACAGAAATTATCAGAAATGCTTACTGTAAACGACAAAATTGAATTCCAGAGGAGAACATTCCATGTGTTTTAGAAACAAACAACCTGATCTATTGGCTGGAATAGCCTCACAAATTGATTTAACAAGAGGAAATCCTTTCAGTAAACTCTCTGAGCTCGCCATGAGTGCACTGACCTTACCTCATCCAAATGCCAAAGTAGACCGGATTTTTAGTCATGTGAACACCGTAAAAGTTTCGGAATTGACACGAATATAAAAAAAAAGCTTACGAGCAATTTTAAGAAATGTAAACGTACTAAAGAGGAATGCCATAATATTAATCCAAACCTGGAAAAATGTAAAGCATTTTACTTTCAACGTTATTTTTAAAGTAATGCATATAATGTAAGTGATGAATGATTTCTCAAGCCCACAGTATTGGGCATACAGTAATAAGTAAAAATGGCTACCTTTCATTTCACAATTACAAAACTACAATAAGTAAACTACAATACTACAAAGTAGATGGGAGCTTCTTTTCTATTGGTAAAAGACTTTCTGCGACTTCCTTGTGTTGGCATCTCCAAAATGTCGCGAAGTTTTAAATATTTGTTTTTTATTTTCTTATTCTGCTGGTGGAGCACCTTCTCATTACGTTCACGCATTCTATCCTCTGATCACTAATTAAAGAGGTGACTTTTTCATGTGTTAAAAACATTTCCATTGAAAGCATAACGTTTCCTCTGTGCAATTTTCTCAACCATCCTTTCCTCATTTATCGTGAGCATGGATATCTTCATAGCGCAAGAGATGTATTTCATGATTCCGCTTTCATCTTCATCAGAAATGCATGTATTTCTGACGAAGATATAATCGAAACCGGACAAACATATCTCCTCCTCTGTGAAGATAGTCATTCTCTTCATAGCTTTTCCTACGTTTGTCGCAATGAACACTGTTCCTCGTCCACCAGATGGTCCATGTTATCTGTTCTCCGTCGCTTGCTTGGCCTTAACGGTAATGGATTCGCAGTGATCGTCTGTGGTGCATGTGCTTCACAGACGACGAAAGTGCAAGTGAAGGACCTTTACCGAAAGCGTCACTCGGCGTTGGTGGCCGCGCGGTGCTTGATCTTAGACCGATGCAAGTAACCATGCTATTTTTTAGGTGGAACGTTGATGTCAGCTTATGACACGAGAGATGAAATTTCCATTCATGTTGGGTACAATAGTTTATTTTGATAATATGAAGAATATAATGAACAGTTGCACAAATTCATGAAAAATATATTCTTATTACTTTTTACACGCCCAATACGCAATCACAAATACAAATAAACAGACGCACGAACGCACGCAAACATACACGAGGATATATGCAGATGCATGTGTGTGTGTGTGTGTGTGTGTGTGTGTGTGTGTGTGTGTGTGTGTGTGTGTGTGTGTGTGTGTGTGTGTGTGTGTGTGTAGAAGCAGACGTCCCTGCATTGTGTCTCTATAGTCCTAAACACCTATTTTCATCTACTTCCCTCTCATCAAATTTAGCGCTCCTTCGCATCGAAAAGAGAGAGAGAGAGAGAGAGAGAGAGAGAGAGAGAGAGAGAGAGAGAGAGAGAGAGAGAGAGAGAGAGAGGGAGAGAGAGAGAGAGAGAGAGAGAGAGAGAGAGAGAGAGAGAGAGAGAGAGAGAGAGAGAGAGAAGCATAGTCAGCTACAGCCTTTATACATCATGCCATCTTTTTCATTCTTACTTCTCCGTGGCAAATTTATTTGAATCAACATAAGACTTTCTCCTCAATGAATTTTTCTCTCCCCAATCTACACGCTCTTCCCTTTCGACTTAATATACCCCTTGGCAAAAAAAACGTCCTCTAAAAACCTCAGCCACATAATCCTCAGTAAAATCATCGCTAATAACACGATACCATATGCGACCGAAGAGAGTGCTTAGGCGAGACCGGTAATTAAAGTAAATACCAGTAACGCAGCGTAGTGTTATGTCAAGGATTTTCTATTTAACTTTTTTTTTTTTTTTTTTTTTTTTGCAATGCTTAATTTTTTCCGGATTAAGAGTGTTTGCAAAGGGCGCAAAGTTCTTTAGTATTAACTAATGTGTAAAATTAGGATTGAGTTGTGAGATACGGTGATTTTCGGATACATAAAGGTCAGTGCTTGATGGGCTGCTTAGGGAAACAAATTATGGATTTTATATACGATAATAGTAATGATAATGATTATGATGAGGATAACGATGATTATAACAGAAAGAATAGAAATAGTAAGGGTGATGATAATAGTAATTGCAGTAATAATAATGATAATGATGCTACTACTACGACTACTACTAATAATAATGATAATAAAGTGAAAATGATAATAATCATGAAAATGATAATAATAATAATGATGATGACAATAATAATAATGATAATAATAATGATGATAATAGTAATAATAACAATAATAACAGTAATGGGCATGATGATTATTATGATGGTAATGATGATGATGATGATACAAAGAGCTGTAGTAGCAATAGCTAAAGTGATTGTAATAATAACAACAATAATAATGATAGGTACACGGCTTCGATAATATTGTTGTGTCGATAATATTGTTGTTTATCTTCGATGGTACTTTCCCCGTCAATGTTGAACTGGAACCGAAAACAGACAGTTGCTAATGTCGCTGCTAGACTGTCTGCTGAGCGAAAGATTGAGAATACATCGCTCTTGACCCGTGATCCCAACATCACCCTTACGTCAGGAACAGATATACGTCCACAGATACACACACACACACAGACACACACACACACACACACACACACACACACACACACACACACACACACACACACACACACACACACACACACACACGCACACACATATATACATATACAATATATACACACATGTATTTATTTATTTATTTATACACACACACACACATACACATACATACAAACATACATATACATATATACAAACACACATTTATATGTATATGTGTACATATATATATATATATATATATATATATATATATATATATAATATATGTATATATATATTGTTGTTGGCTCCGTCGATCTCGGGAGATCATTGATATCTGCGCCGTGTACCTATATCAGTGAGTTGCAGCGTCTGGTGTGACTGTACAGGCCGATGCGAGAACTGCATGGCCTGCCGCATCTGCTGCAGGTGAAGGCTGGCACCTGTCTCTGAGTCTGTGGTGGGGCCGACTGCAGTCGCTGCTGTCTGCGGAGACGTTTTTCTCCCAACCGGGTGTCTGGTGCCACTGGCCAGCTCTCCGAACAGCATGTCTTTGGGGATGCGACCATCATTCATTCGGTTGACACGACCCAACCAACGCAGGCGTCTCTGGGACAGGATGGCGAACATGTTGAGTATCCCTGCCTTGGCTAGGACGTTGATGTTGGTGACGCGATCCTGCCAAGTGATGCCGAGCAGTTTGCGGAGGCAACGTAGGTGGAATGCGTTCAGCCTTCATTCCTGGTCGGAGTAGAGGGTCCATGCTTCACTACCGTACAGGAGAGTGCTCAGCACACAGGCCTGGTATACTCTCATCTTGGTGTTGATGGTGAGCATGGTGTTGTCCCAGACTCGCTTCGTCAGGCGGTGTTCAGCTCTGCGTCAAGGGAGAGGTTGCTAGAGATGGTGGACCCAAGATAGGTGAACTTCTCCACTACCTCGAGGGTGTGGTCGGCGATGGAGATACTGGGGGCGTTGTTGACATCATCTTCTTGAGGCTGATGTTGAGGCCAAACTCTGCACAGGCGGCTGCAAAGCGATCGATGAGTCGCTGCAGCCCTGCTTCAGTGTGTGCGGCTAGGGCAGCATCATCAGCGAAGAGTAGTTCTCTGATGAGCACCTTCCTTACTTTGGTCTTTGCTTGAAGGCGTGCTAAGTTGAAGAGCCCTCCGTCACTTCTGGTGTGAATGAATATGCCGTCGTCGGAGTCCCCGAAAGCGTGTGACAGGAGCAGGGAGAAGAAAATGCCAAAGAGGGTCGGGGCAAGGACGCAGCCCTTCTTCACTCCATATCTGATCGGAAAGGGCTCCGAGCATGATCCGTCAAACTGGACGGTGCCGCTCATATCCTGGTGGAAGGACACGATCTGACTCAGGAGCTAGGGAGGACATCCAATCCGCTGGAGGAGGGCAAACAGTCCATCTCGGCTAACCAGATCAAAGGCCTTGGTGAGGTCAATGAAAGCCAGGTACAGGGGCTGTCTCTGCTCCCGGCATTTCTCCTGCAGCTGCCTCACAGAGAACACCATGCCAATGGTTGACCTGGCGGTCCTGAATCCGCACTGTGCCTCAGGGTAGACATGCTCAGCAAGGAGTTGCAGTCTGCCGAGGTCGACACGGGCAAAGGCTTTGCCGACAATGCTGAGGAGCGAAATGCTGCGGGAGTTATCGCAGTCGGACCGCCTTCGGCAGATTTGATGGGGCCAGTTTTGATGGTGCTTGGGCCAAAAGCTTTCTTCAAATTTTCGTAATACCCCGCACGTTGCCCATGTCTGCAAAGAGCTGGATGTCTTGGCAGAGGCTCGACCAATAGTTGTTAGCACA